AAGCTCAGAAAACCATTGACTATGTTATTGAACAAAGTTGTAAAACAACCTAATTTTTTTAATGTTTATTGTTCTATTTAATATAAATGTTTTATATAACATAAATTAAGTTTTTTTTTTTGATATTTTGAGAATAAAAAATTAAAAGTAAAAATCTGAAAAATTTGATTAGTATGATAGAAGTAAAAGACAAACCTACTTCCTTGTCAGATTTAAATGAAGAAACTATTCTAAAAAAAACTTTATTGAAAGAAATTGATAATTTGTATCACAAGAAAGAGGTTGATCCAACTATTCTTTCAAATATTGAGAATATTAAAGCAATTGTCAAAAACTATGAAAAACAAGTTGATAGTATTATGGAGCATGTTCTTCCTGTATTAGAAAAACGATTCCGATTAAAACCAATATTAGTTGATAGGTATGGAGAGACACATCGTCAAGATGTATTAAGACTATTTGTTCATTATAATAAGTCTTATTTTCAATTTATTGAGCATCCGTTGGGAAATGTTAAAAGTTTATATCTCCAACTTTTTAAGTTATATGATTTTACTGAAAGAAAATGTTATTATGGAGTAATTTTTATATTAAAATATATGATGATTCTTGATTTAATGAGGAGAAATATGATTATTGGAAATGTACGATTATTCAGAAGCACAACAAAATTTGTTAGTAGTATTGAAATAGTAAAACAAACAATTGAATTAGCATTTGAAACTCCATTACATGTTTATGACACTTTATGCAATTTTGGTTATTCTTTGACACAAGTACAATATCCCCAATATTGCATTCAATATAAGTTAAATGATTTAGACGATTTTATTTCAAGTGGAATTCAATTGAGTGTATTAGCAACGTATCTTGCTGATCAGAGATTAGGTATAACATCAACTATTATCAATTCTTTAGTACTTGATAATGATCAATTATTAACTCGAAGACAAGCTACTTCAAATATTAATCATTTAGTTGGATTCTTAAATACACTTGGAATGCCATTTAAAATTGGAGAGATTGCATTTTATGATTACTCTATATACGAAAGAGAAGATGGTGTAGTTTCATTATTTTTATTTGAATTTCTTCGTGTATTTCAATGTCAATTGGTCATTCCAATTCATGTTGTGTGTAATGAAATTAGTAGGATAGGTGAAACTAAAATTTCATTAAATTCGTCAAATGATATGTACGAAGCGTGGGTTAGCGTTATTGGCAATTGTTACAATAAGGTGTTTACTTATAATGAATTTGAATATTTCTTACCATATCTTTATATTATATGTTATTATAGTCATTTATCAATTCCTCCTTTATCACATAAAGGAGATGGGGAAAAAAGAAGAATTGAAATTATAAAAGCAATGCAACCTGGTTTAGAAATTCTTAATATTCCTAAACGAATATTTACAGATAAGATAAACAATTATGGAGATAAAACTTTTATTAATTATATTCTCTCATTTTTGTTTTATTTTATTCAAAAGAATGCAATAATTGATTGTGCTGCTAACTCAATTGGAAACGCATTAAAAAAATGTGTTGAAAGAAAAAAAATGAAGAAAGGAATGTTATTTATTTCATCCATATTCAATACCATTAATATTATAAAAGGAAAAGAAGATGAATATTTTTATAATCAAATTATGATAGGAACTAATTTGATTCAGCAAAATCACATTAAGGTGTTGTATGATGAAGAAATTAAACACACGGAAGAAGTTCAATGTATCATGAAAAAATTATTATTACAGAAACAAATGAAAGGAACTTGGAGTTGTATTAAAGAAGTACAAAGCATTTGTAGACAATACGTTATTCAAAACGAAAATAACAAATTAAAAAAAGAAATAAGAGAAATACAAAGTATTTATAAAGCAATGAATACTAAAGTGTATTACAACGAAATCTTAGAAAGTTGTTTAACTACTCAATCAAATGGTAGAGAAATGGAAAAAAGTCAAACTTGGAAAGAACAAATCGAAAGTAATAAAATAACTCAAAAAGAAATTAGGCGTTATGTTGATGAAATAAAATATATAAGAATTATTGAAGGAACTAAATCATTTGAAACAGTGTTTAAAGAAGAAATCTATAAAAGAGAGTTTAACAAACAAGTTAATAGCAATAAATTAGTTCAAAGTATTTTGAGAAGAAATCAGTCGTTCATGAGTTATGAAGGAATTATTAATAGTTGTATTGAGACACAAAAACATGCAAAAAGAATTGTTTATTGTACAAGATATGAAGAAATTTGCCAATCATCTGCTAATGTAGCAGATGCATTAAAACAAATATTACATTCTTCTGAATACGGATTTATAAAACGAGTATGTCCATTTGTGCAAAGTTATTACAGAAGTTTAATTCAAACTAAACAGATGAAAGAACGAATCAATAGTTGTATTCCTTTAGAAGGAATATTTAGAGGAATTAAGGAATATTACAATTATTCTGTAATAATTCAAAGTAATATTGATGTACAAAAAGAAAGTAGAAGAGCAATAAAACACAATAAGTACCAAGAAATTATTACTTCTGAACAAATTATTTGTTCCGTGCTAAGAAAAAAGAGAGACCATTTGGAATATTCACATCTTCAAGAACAATGCCAAATAGTCCAAGGACTATGCAGAAGAAGAATTTTTAAGGAACAATTTGATTGTATCAATATTCAAACTAGTTTAGTTCAAAGTGAAATGAAAAGAATTACTAAAAGCAGAATATTTAAAGAAATAGAGCAGGCATCTAAAGAGATGAGTGCATTTATCAAAACATATTCTATCACTTTAGAATTTATGATAAGAGTTAAAATGGCAGAAGAAGTTCAAGCTGTTATCAAAGGGAATAAGATTTTACACAAATACCTTCAGGTTGTTGAAAATATAAAAGAACCACAAAGTATTTGTAAACAAGTTGTTTATACAAATAAAATGAAAGATATAATTAATGGAATTAAATATATACAACAACATCACTATTTTGAAGAAATAAAAAGACAATGTATTAATGTACAAGCAATTATGAGAAAAATTAACATTCCACCATTTAAAGAAAATCGACTATCTTGTAAAAATGTTGAGCTCATTTGGAGATGTGAAATAAAACAAAGAGAATATAATAAACAAAGAAATAGTATTATCCAATGTCAAAGATGTGGAAAAGAAGCACTAAAAAGAAAAGAATATATCCAACTTATTCGAGCAAATGAAATTGTTCAAAGTTATTGGAGAAAAGTTATACAAAAACATGAACAAGAAGAAAGAGAATATTACTGTAGTGAAATACAAGGAATAATGAGAAATGTTATTGTTGAAAAAGATAAAGGATATGAATTAAGTAAATGGTATCAAGACTGTGAATATAAAAGATGTCTCACTAAGTACTGTATTCCTTTACAGGGGATTTGTAGACAAGTTATTGTAAAATATGGAGTTAATTTAGATGAAGAAATCATGCAATCTCTGTCATACTCATGTGAATTATATACTTTAATTCATAGTTCAGTATCTCTTAATGAAAAACAAAAGAAACAAAAAAGAATATCTGAATCGCCTAGTAAAATATTACAATCACCTTCACAAAGAATATTACCAAAAGAAATTATTATGAATTCAATTTATTTAAATAAAACTACAAGAATGTCATTTAATAGATTAGAGTATAACAAACGTATATTATATGAATATATCAGAAAATCCGAAAGAAGTATTATTGATATTGCATTTTCTAATATTAGAATGATCGAGAGAAAAAAATTAGAAGAAGTACAAATTGGAGCAAAACAACTATTTGAACAAATTAGATGTAGTGAATGGTTCAGAGTCATGTTTGTAAAATATCAATGTGTTTATCATATCCTTGATTTATTAAAAAGCAGTAATAAATCTCCACCTTATCTTGAGTTAGTAGAAAAGTCATGCATGATGCTTCACTTTTTAATTCGTGATAATTGTTCATTCAAATTATATAATAATCCTAATATGATAAAATCTACTATTGAAAGAATATCAGAAATCTTAAGAAATTTTATGGAAATAAAAATCTTAACGGAAGGAACTAAGGTATTTCTTTGTCTTGTTCAAAAACTTCCTGAAATAAAAATGTATTTAGTTGATGTTTGTCAAAGGCTTAATACTAAATTACCAGAAGTAGAACAAAAAGAAAAATTAGAAAAAAAGAAAGCAATGGATATTTCTGCTAAATTAAAGAAAGAATGCATTTATGAAGCAGCTTCACCACATATTAAAATATTAGTAGCTAAAGTACTTGGAAAATAAAAGAAATTAGATAATAAAAAACTTAATTTTATTTTAATAGAAATGTTTATTATAAAAAAGTTAAATAAAAAAAAGGAAATGAATTAATAGATTTGTAAAATAATGGAATGCTTTATATGCGGGAAAAGTACTGAACAAACTCCAAGTGTTGTGATTGAAAATAAAACGGTGTATGTTCATAAAGGTTGTTTTAGGTGTTCAGTGTGTGGGTGTAGATTAGATGGATATTTAATTAAAAACCATGAATTATGTTGTGTTGATTGTTACCAAAATCGTAATGTCAATGAAACGTGTCAAAAATGTGGAAAAATTATAACAGGAAAAATTGCACGAGTTGATGGTAAATTTTGGCATCCTCAATGTTTTATTTGTTCTCTTTGTAATAAGCCAATTGAAGGAGATTTTATTGAAAAAGGTCAACAACATATTTGTTTAAAATGTCATCGTAATGAAGTCCAAATAAAACCAATTTCATCTTCCCAAGACTTAACAAACTCATCAATAGAACCAAATACGTTAAGTGGAAGAACAGAAACAACTGATGAAAAAATGAAACCCAATGATATCACTAAAAACATTCAGTCATAAATTAAAACAAAACTAAATTTCATTTACTTCAAAAAAAGGTCTTTCGATTTTTTGGTTTTGTTTAGATTTTTTTTCAGAAGCATGTTTTAAAAATTTAACTTTGAAATTTTACTCTTTAATTATTTTATGGGGGAACAACAATCTATACCAATCGCTACTGACCAAACTAAAACTTATTTAGACATTAGTAATCAATTACTTCCTGAAGCTCCTAACCTTAATCAATTTCCTGGATTAAAAAATTTAAATTTATCACATAATCAAATGACATCAATTGACTCTTTAGTAACGTTATTAAATTTAACTAAATTAGATGTCAGTAATAATGAATTAGAACTAATTCCTGATTTGCTATATATTAATTTAACTCACTTACAAGATTTACAGGTAGAAAGTAATCAACTTCGTGTTCTTTCTCCATTAATTTGTTTTCTCACTTCATTAGTTAATCTGAATTTATCAAGAAATAAATTAGAACAAATTCCAGATCCAATTAGTTCATGTCATGAATTAACTTTATTAAATATAAGTTTTAATTCATTAAGAAATATTCCACCAACAATTATAGAATTACCTCAATTAAAAGCACTAATTTTAAATAATAATAACATCAACACTATTCCAAAAGGTATTGGAAAATGTACAGGATTAACTCTATTAAATCTTGGAGAAAATGAGATGCAAGAAGTACCTGATTATATTAAGACATGTACTAATTTAGTTAAATTATATCTAGATAATAATGATATTAGAAAAGTTACACCTTCCATTTCAAACTTAGTTTCATTAAAAGAACTCAATCTGAGATCGAATGGATTACAAAGACTTCCAATTGACCTTACTAAGCTTACTAATCTTAATATGTGTGATGTTGGTGATAATCAATTCAATGATAAATTCTTTGACACTGAACCAAGTATTACAAGTTTATTTAAATATTTATCAACACACTCATTTGTTTCTCTAACAAGAAAAGTTGCTTCTAAAACTGATAGAAGAAAACAAAGTCTTCAAACTCAATTAAAGATAAATCAAAGTAGTAAGAAAAAGATATTTAAAGAAGATGATATTTATATAAAGAAATTGTTATTGAGAATTAGTGAGAATGATGACTTTACTTATTGTAGAATAGTCAATTGTAAAGGAACAGAAATTAACCATAATGATGCTTATATTTATGATGACCTTAAATACATTTATGTTTGGATTGGTAAAAAGTGTAATGATTTTAAAAAGACTAAAGCCAAATCTGTTGCTTCGTTACTTAGTCAAGAAGAGTTAAGTGAAGTCATTTATATTGATTATACTGAACAAAAGAATGTCCATGATACTTTTCTTAATATTTTTAATGTTGATTCATTTGATGAAAATACATATGATAATGAAGAGTTATTTATTCAATACATTAATTCATTAAAAACATTTACATTTGAAGACAATGATATTGAAGTTGTTGTAGATGAAGTTCATGACGAAGTTTTGACTTCTGAATTATTACAGTCATCACGTTCACTTTTGATTGATACAGGTATTGATGTTTTTGTGTGGTGTGGACAATATAGTGATAATAATGAAAGAAATACTGCATTATTACAAGCAGAGTCATTACTCAGTTCAAGTGGAAGAAGAAAAGAGTTACTAAATTTTGTCCTTGAAGGCAATGAAACTTTAATATTCAAAGAATATTTCCATGATTTAGCCATTAAAGATGATATGGTTACTTCCAATACTACTGACTTCTCTGATGTTCTTCGATCACCTTCACCTTCTTCTTCTCGTTCTTCTCATATCAGAAGAACTTCTGGTAGTCATTTAAGAAATTCAGGTGACTTTTCATCAAGAAGTCCATCTCCATCTCCATTACAAACACCTAGAGTATTACCAAAGGAAGTTCAAGAAAAACCACTTATTCAAGAGGACCAAAAAGTTCCAGAAAAAGCTCCTATCAAAGATAAAGAAGAATTAAAAGTTACTGTTATAGGTCAAGTTATTAAGGATGAAACAAAACCCATAGAAAACATTGAAACTAAAAATGTTGAGAAAAAGACTGAACACACTGATAATGAAAAACATGAACAAACCAGTTCATTTGTAAATCAAACACCAATAACAATTGAAAATAATCTAGAGAATAAAAAAGAATTAAAAGAATCAACACAAAATGATAAATACAATATAAAAAAAGACTCTAAAAAAGAGAAAGAAAGCACAGAACCATCAAAAGGAAATAATGAATTAGCAACAAACCAAAAGAATTTGGACCAAATAGTTAATGAAGAAGATACTCAACTAATCAAAGTACCAAGAAGAACTGTTGTAAAGAAACGAGCAGCCGCAAGTAAAAATATTACTCAACTACAAAAAGACATTGGAGCAAAAACTGAACTAGAAGAAAAGAAGCAAGACCAACCAAAACAAATTTCATTTGATGATATTCTTCAACAAAGAGAAAAGTTCGTAGCAAAAAGAAATCAACAAAACATTAAAACTGAAGAAGATTACATTAATGCAGCAAATTCAATTACAGGTAATCCATTAGATCTTCCGAGATTATTCCAAATTAAAGGACAAAAACGACCATTTGTTAGACAAGTTGAATGTACATGGAAAAGTATGAATTCAGGAGATGCTTTTGTATATGACCCAGGAAAAGGGACTAGAGTCATTTATCATTGGCAAGGAAAGAAAAGTAATAGAATGGAGAAAGGAAAGGCTATGGATATTGCCAAAAGAATCAAAGACAAAGAACGTGTTGGATGTAGTCAATTACTTATTGAAGAAGGAAAGGAGCCGGAAGCTTTTTGGAAAGGATTACAAGGCCCACCAACACACCCAATACCTGAAGATGATGGAAAGATTGATACTGAAGCTGAAGTTCAAATCATTCAAAGAATTTGTTTATATTGGTTGAGATATGATGAAAGTACTGAAGAAGTTATTATGGAGAAAACTGTAGATATAAAGAATCATATATCCAAAGGGTTATTAGATGTGACTCAATGTTATTTATTAGACTGTGAAAATGAAATGTTTTTATGGTTAGGAAATAAGTGCCAAGTAAAAGTTAGACAACGCATTAATAAGTTTGTTGAATCGATGTACAATGAAAGAAAAAGTCTTGGATGGATGGCACCATTATATAAAGAATACCCAGGAGGGGAAGAAGTTATGTTCAAAGAACGCTTTTATGATTGGAATACACTACCAATAGGAAGTAAAGAAGATGTATCAAGTGGAAAAGGAATTGTCTATAAGAAGAGTCAAGGAATGACTAGTGAAGTTGATTTTAATAAAATGATGTTACCTGCTACAGAAAAAACAGAGGTTAAGATTGATGATGGTAAAGGAGATACTCAAATATGGAAAATTGATGGATTTAATAAAATAGAAATCAAACCTGAAGAAAAAGGAGTGTTATTTGAAGCAGAAAGTTATATTATTCTCTACCATTATAAAATTTGGGCAAAAGACATGTATTTGTTGTATTTTTGGCAAGGGAGAAGTTGTGCTGTTATTGATAAAGGAACAAGTGCAAGACTAACAGTTGATTTTCATAAGACATTAAAGAGTGATACAAAAGAAATGAGAGTTGTTCAAAATGTCGAAACAAGACATTTCCTTTCAATGTTTAATAATTCTTTAATAATTAGACAAGGAAAATATAAAAAAGAATTTGATTATAACAAAAAGTACTTATTTGATATTAGAGGAAAAGAAGAGCCTTTTATCAAAGCTATTGAAGTTGACGTACAACCAAATGCATTATGCAGTTATGGTGTATTTATTTTATTAACTCCTAAAACAAAATTTATTTGGAAAGGAAAATTTAGAAATGAGAAATACGTTGAATTTGCTGTTGGTCTTGGAAAAGTCCACCAATTTATGGAAAGAGAGCAATGTGTTGAAATTGAAGAAGGTAATGAAAGTGAAGAATTTATTCAAGCAATTGGAGGAAAATATGAAATTGATCAACCAACTCATATGTACGTTGATAGACTTTACCAATTGTCAACTACAAGTGGGGCTTTAAGGTGTGAAGAACACGTAAGGTTTTATCAAGACGATTTATATTCAAATGATGTAATGCTTCTAGACACAGTTGATGGGTTATATGTTTGGTTAGGAAGTAAATGTTCTGCTAATACTAAGAAGATGTCATTAAATACAGCACTAGAATTTGTAAAGAAAGGTAAGACACCTGAACTACAGAAAAGAATTGTTTATGCTATTCAAGATAAAAAAGAGCCATATGTTTTCACTAAATATTTTCAAGGATGGCAAAAGACTAAAGGCCAAGAATGTTCAATAAAAGGAAACATTTTATTAGCTGAAGAAGAGTACAAAAAATTCTTTATTAAATATTCATATGATGACCTTGTTAATAAGAAATTCCCAAAAGGAATTGATGAACAAGCCTTAGAGACTTATCTCACTGATGATGAATTTGCTAAAGTGTTTAATATGTCTCTAGACCAATTCAATACCTTACCTCTTTGGAAAAGAGAAAACCTAAAAAAAGCAAAGAAGCTTTATTAAGAATTATCACTCATTACTTATTTTTGTTTTGTTTTTGTCTGTTTTTTTAAATCTAATTCTTCAAAATGAACAATAACTCAGAAGAGATCTGTATTAAAAATCATTTTAAGAGTTTGGTGATTTACTAAAAAATAAGTTTTAAAGATCTTCCTATCATTTTTGGATTACATAAAAAACTAAAATGTAAAAGACGTTTATGAAAACAAGTCAAAGAAATTGCAAAAAATAAATTTTGAGATTTAATAAACGACGAACTTGAAAAGTAGAAGTATGTCAGACGAAGAGATTAGGAAACAAGAAGAAGAGCTTAAAAGATTACAAGAAGAAATGGACAAAGAGGATGCTGAGATGAGACAAATGGAAGAAGAAATACGTCAACAAGAAGAGGCGATTCGAATAGAAGAAGAAAGGCTTCAAAAAGAAATTGAAGAAGAAGAACGAAAAGCCCAAGAAGAAGATGAAAGGTTAAAAGAAGAAGAGGAGAGAGTTAGGTTAGAGGCAGAACAACTCCAAAAAGAAATTGAAGAAGAAGAAAGAAAAGCAAAAGAAGAA